TTTTTTTTTTTTTTTATTATTCATGAATTTAACCATAAAATATTTTTTTTAAAATTTTTAAAGTAGTTTATGTACACAACTCTTATTACTTGAAATTTATATAAGTTAGAATCATCTCCACATACCTTAAAAGTAACTCTTTTGGCAGTTTTTTATTAATTTGGGCCTCGTCATCATGAAAAACCCATGTCAACTATAAAAAAAAACAAATGATGTTATATTGTAAATAATCCTACTGCACAATTGCAAACATGTAAAACGAAATAGCTAGAAACGTTATGAACAATAATTTTAATTTTACCGTAATTTTCATACACAATTAAAAAATAGTGAACTGTTATTTATTATAACTTTTTGCTTCTTTTATCGGATCTACTGTATAACATGTTTTTTGTAATAACTGTACTGTTGGTCAATATTGAATGTGTAAAAAAAACGTGGTACAAATATTTGTTAAGTTTATAAAAAAATCATTTGACTATTGTACATCGTTAAAAACGAATACTAATTTAATTTGTACCTCAAACGTGCACTAAAAATTTTATTTCTACAAGATAAAAACGGAGTTGAAAAATATATCGGAACAAAGAACACCGTGGATGTGTTTTTTTTTTATTTTTTTTTTCGTTATACTCTTAGCATATTAACACACAAAGTTTGCGCATGCGATTTGAGAAACGAGTAAAAGTAGACATTTTATTAAAAATGTCATAATTGTTTTACTTATCGTTGAAAAATCTCAACGACAAATAAAAGAGAAGAACAATCAACGCACCTCGGCACTCAACAGCAAGAAAGAAGTGAATAAAGGAGTACAAGTGTCAGTCTTTTGAACGTAATAAAGGGTAGACAAATGAGACGCGAGCATCGAACGAATCAGCTGTTTACCTCGACAAAGATAGCACCAAAGAGAGGCGAGCATTACTTCTAGAGTTTTTATCGTAAATCATGATGTTATTTACAACAAAGGTGGCAATGATAAATACCAATTGTGGCATTATCAACACCAACAAACACACAATGGCATTTGACATTCCGATTGTTGCTTCTAAATCTAAAAGTCTTAAAATTGCATTTGCAAGGAGGTATTGGTAATGTGTACAACATAAGTATGAGTGTGTGTAGAATGTACGTGCGAGCATTTTTACGTGATAAAAAAACACACACACACAAATTGCACGTTTAAGGAAACTTTGTGAATTATTTAGAATTGGTGTGCACTTCACTCGACACTGAAATTAATGTTAAAAGACAAGTGCGTACAAACTTGTCAACTCGAAAGCAGACAATGTTTACCTCGAGCCTCGTACGCCCCGAGTGTATCATCCTTTTGCGTCGCGTTATTTTGCAAGAGTTTCGGGAACACCCGACCACAGCGTAAAGAAAAAAAAAAAGGAATATGTATTAAAAACCTCGGATAACCTAGCGACGAGCGGAGCGAGAAAAAAACTTCAGCTTCGGTAAAGAAATGGCCGAGTCTACTGAGACGAACAGAGGCAGACGGTATATGGTAGTAGCAGCCAACAGCTTGGATCTGTGTGCTCGTACTGTAAGGTCAACGAAATTGTGTGCTGTATTCCATCGGGTAAACGACTGAAACGTGCCTTAGTCGACGCGCCAGCACGTAGTATACGTGAGACCCGATTTTTTTTTTTTTTTTTTTTTTTACCGTAGACTGGAGCAGTTGATGAAATCAGAAACTCCAACTTTACGACTGCGACTGGACGATTGTATTTCAATTTCCAAACGATTCGAGGTTTTTATACTGCAAGTCATTCAGTACCACAATTATAAGCTTAAATGTAACGTTTATAAATTCATATGTGCAAAGTTGTATGCGCTGCAAAAGAACTACAATTCAAACCTTTGGCTTTAGCAATTATTTGATAATAGTGTAAGTAGGTGTACAGTCATATGTAAAAGGTTTGAAATAATAATTTACTTGGTGTAATATACACGAGGTGCATGCGTACTGCTTCTGTCAGCGCGTATTGAAAGTGACAGCAGCTAGTAATGTCAACACTGATGAGCTGTGTTGTATATACTTACCCTATTTACTTACCTAATAAATCTGTAATCATGAGTCTACATTAATTTGTCGATAAAATTATGGTGAACAGCCAGAAAACATGGCTTTCGTCGTTAAATTATTCTTTACCAATGACCCTTACTATCAAAGTAATTATTAGTTTATTATGGTTAAACCTTTTTTTATATGGAATTCGTTTTGTAACATTTTAATGTCAGTAAATGAAATGTTTATTGGAAATCTTGGGGTTACAACAAATTACGCTTTAGATTCGTAGAAAAAAATCTTTCCAAAGTAACATGTGGCTCCATCTTACGTTTATATTTATAACTTGAGAAACACATTTTACGCGGAGATACTTCTTTATCGCGTGTCGATAATATAAAGAGAAAAATACCAAACTTTGTGTATAGAATAAATAAAATTTTTCATGAAAAAAATTTACGGTTTAACCAGTCGTCACGATAAATCGTGAAAAAATTATCACGCATGTATGACTGATCATTTATTTGCTTGGTAGAATTTAAATAAATGAATTTGAAAAAATTGAGCATGAAATAAAGCATTTTATTACGAGTAAACATAAAACAATAGATTGGTATGGTTGGACTTTTTAGTATACAGTTGGAAAATAATGAACTTTAACTTTTGTGATCAGTAACATCTGCAATCACGTGGTTGAAAATATCTCAAAACACTTTTTTCTTGCTTTCTCTTGTAACCCGAAATATTTTGCAGATTAAGTAGTTTTTGTTCATGCAGTTGGGACGGCCGAAGACATACATAGTGATCCATCGACATGTCCTTCCTTTTGCCGTATCTAAAGAAGAGTTGGTTGTTGAAAAATAATTGTTGGATTATTTCGTATCAATCAGTGAAAAACAAGACACACCTCGCTTTGCCGTTCAGTGAGTAGTAACCTTTTACCAAATCTAAAAATTGTTTGAGGTCGTCGGGGTTGGAAAATACTTCCGGTCTCGTTATTCTGGCCATGGGTTCGGTATCGCTCTGTGCTGTTATCGATTGCAAGATTATTATTCCCAGAACAAAGTACATTACTTGAAGCTGCTCCTTTGAAGTTCTCATTTTTTTTTTTTTTTTTTTTTTTTTTTTTTTTTTTTTTTTTTTTTTTTTT